TTCCCCCAAAATAGCATAGTTATTGGTTATACAGTATGTCCCCGGATTGTCTTTACAAGAGGAAAAGCTTTTTTATTATTGACATTTTGAGAAAAATGCATTCTTTGTAAAGATTTTTGCTTGTCCTAAAATGGTTAATGCCGCTTATACTGTTCCAAATTTCTGTACCATTTCAGAGAAAATTAGAAAAAACATGAAAATATAGTTTTAATTAGAATATACCGGGTGCGTCTTAAAAGTGACTCGCGCCCTATAACTTTTTTATTTTTTCAGATCAAAAAAACGAGATTTGGTATGTTAGTATATGACATCAATTAGGAATGATTGACCTATTCATTTTATTTCGGCCACTTCCTGTTTCATCGGAAATTACTACAACTTTTGATTTTTAAATGGCACCTTCGATATTTTTTTACTTTATTCGATAGAAAATGACACTCTAAATATAATGACATATCATATGCCAAACTTTCGACATTTTCGCTTAAAACAAAATTGTATTTTAAATTTCAATCTAGAGTGCCATGACTGTGTTAAAAACACAAATTTTTAATCAACGTGCCTTGGAAAAATAGATTTGATTGTCTGATGTTTTTACTGTCTTATCCTGGCCTGTTAAAAGATGCCCAAATCGTATTTTTAGTCATATCTCAATTTTTTCAAATGGAACGAGGGTGGCTCATTAGCATATTTGGAAAAGGCATTTTTTACGAATAATTTGGTACCACACACTTGGTATTTCGAGTCAAATTGTCGTTATGATTCGCATATCGCAATTGCAAATAAACCATATTCGGAAATGACAAAAGTTGGCATATGATATGTCATTCTATTGAGACTGTCATTTTTTATAAAGTAACAAGTTCCAATAAAGTAACAAAATACCGTCGGTGCCATTTAAAAATCAAGAATTGTAGTCATTTCCAGTGAAACAGGAAGTGACCGAAAACAATTGAATACGTAAACAAATCCTAAATTATGTCATATACTAACATACCAAATCTCGATTTTTTATCTGAAGAAATAAAAAAGTTATAGGGGGTGAGCCACTTTTGAGACGCACGCACCCGGTATAGAATTTGGAAATATAATTTTGATTTCATTCTTTGATAGATTATTATTGATAGAAATTTAATTATCGTCATATTTTTTGTCGTTTTAAAATCTTAAAGGAGAACAAAATTTATTTAGTTCAATGCTACGAAAAAGGTGATTATAGTTATCGGAAAATGGAATACATCAACTATAGCAATAATAACCATCTATAAAAGATTGCAATCGAAATTATATTACCATAGAAACTTAATCCCCGTTTTCCATTGTGAAGTAGTAATTTTCTCTAAAACAGTATAGAAATTTGGAGCAGTATAAACGGGATTAACCATTTTAAAAGTAACAAAATTTTTATACAGGGTGAGTTTCCTACGATGTTCTTTATGGGTATCTAGGAAACTACTGCGGATAGACAGTCGGTGAAATGGGGAAAGAATTGCAGTTTTGTGGGGTCATAAAAATATGCGCCTTTCAGATTTTTGAAAAAGTTCATGGCTTGCTAGATATTTCGAATAAAACAAATTTTAGCTATTTAAAAAATTGTCTCTAATTCCATTACAATCTATTTTAGACAAAAAGTTTTCAGATAAAAGTTGTAGATAATCACATCCCTAATGAGTTTTTTCATTTGTTATTTTTGACATATGACACAAACATATGTTTTTTTTAAATGGAAACCATAGTTGGCCATGTCTTTATAAAAAGCGTAATTTTTTAGGCTTTTCAGCGATAAAAGCTATAGGTAATATGTTTTTTTTACAAAATTACTCAGTTATAGCCAATTCTTATCTTTCTTCGCTAATTTCACTTAGTTAGCCATAGCCATGGAAACAAGGTCAATCGTCGTTGCTCTCAGAAATGTGAAACTGTCACATCCAAACTTTGTAAATTAAAATAAACAAAAATTGTAAATATGCATTTTTCAATTGAAGAAAAGCGTGTAGGATTATTGGTTCAACTTTTCTTGGCCATGAAGTTTCGAGGATACGTCGACCGGTGAACGTTATTTACGTTTTTTAGAGAACGATTTTCAAAGGCATGTTAGAAATGTTAAATTTAGATACTCGTGCATTAATAGAGTGATTCTTACTTTCATTATGACACCTAACCAAACCAAACCAGACCACCCCCCCACAATAATAGAAATTATGTAGACTCAAGGATAGAAAGACCTGGACTAATTGCATGGGCCTCCTCGATCACCTGACCTATCCATTTTAGATTTTTTTATGCGGTATGGTTAACATCAAGGTTTACAAAAGAACTTATGAATTAAGAGAGGCACTCGAAGAGGCGGTACAGGAGAAGTTTAATTAAGTCGACCGGTCGTTCTGTGAGAATAGCTACAAATTCAGTTTTAAAAAGATGCATTTATGTACTCAAAACAATGGCGGACTTTTTGAACATTTTCTAAAGTAACTGTGATATCATTTTTTTAAGTTTTAGTTTGTGTAATGTAAATTGTAAAGAGCCGTTTAATAATATATTTTGTCTTTTTATAAGTTATAAATCATAACAAAATAAGAACACCATATGCCAACTAAGTGAAATTAGTCAAGAAAGATAAGAATTGGCTATAACTCAGTAATTTTGTGAGAAAAAAACATATTATAGCTTATATCGCTTAAAAGCTTAAAAAATGGCCCTTTTTATGAAGTCATGGCCAGCTATGGTTTTCATTTAAAAAAAACATATGTTTGTGTCATATGTCAAAAATGACAGCCTTTAGAAAAAATCGGAGAACACAAACTCATTAGGGATGTGATTATCTACAACTTTTATCTGAAAAGTTTTTGTCTAAAATAGATTATAATGGAATTAGAGACCATTTTTAAAATAGCCAAAATTTTTTTTTTCGAAATATCTAGTAAGCCATGAACTTTTTAAAAAATTTCAAAGGCGCATATATTATATGACCCTACAAAACTGCAATTCTTTCCCCATTTAACCGACTCTCTATAGTCTGTCCAAAGAGAAGATCCTTGACAGTGATATATGTGTCTGTCATTTTAATTTCAAAGTAGTTTATTTTATTTTACAAAGAAATGAGTTGGTGCAACTGGAACGCATAGCAGGAAACTATTATATTTAAAATTTGACTGACAAGTGATTACCATAGATAAATGCAACAAGTTTAGATTGGAAAGCCCGTAAAAATTTTGAGTCGCGAAATTATTTTGGGTCGCGACCGTTATACGCGATCTGGCGCTGCTATAGCGGTCGCTAAGAACAACGGCAATCAAAAACAGAAATAATTTTCTCTTGACAAAGTCAGAATCTTCAAAAATCATAATAATCTTTTAAAATCTAAACCGCTCTCATTAAAGAAATCCGAAAAGTGTTTATGGCGTCAATTTTCAAAATAATAATTGCTATCTTGTGAGTTTAATTCAAGTTTTATTTACTCCAACCGGTGATAATTGTGAAAAAGTGGCATTAAAAACTTAAAAAGCTGTGCTGTGAACTGTGAACTGCAAAAACCATATCGTGGATCGTGGCATAACATGGGCATAACGTCGGTTTCCAATGTTTCATAGGTATTTCATACATGCGTCCTTATATAAAATAAAGTTTCTTGTGTATGCAACACACTGTCTTTTATTTATAAAATTAAACGAAAATAATAATAAATTTGAATAAACAATATTTGGCGATATAATTCCGGAAAAAGCCGAACCGCTCGAAATTGTCAAAAGTTTTGGGTCGCGACCGTTGCAAAAATAGCGCCAAATAGTGTTTACATTGTCCTTATGGGCACTTTCCAATCTAAACTTGTTTCATTTATCTATGGTGATTACTTCAAAATATTGTGAAAGAAACTGCATAAAACTGAAAAAATGTAATCGAGTTATTTTATTCAATAAATAACGGTATGTGTTAATACAAAACAAACAAGAACAAGATAACACATACCAAAAAATATAAAAAAGAACTATTTCTTACTTTCAAGCTTTATGAAACTTCCCGCATCTATGATTATATTTATTAATATAACTTATGTACAAATACAAATTTGTAATATTCCACAGGAATAAATAAAACAACATAAATAAAACACACTATTTTATTAATATTAACACTTACCAAATTTTATACCTTAAAGGTTGATTAATTAACTTTAATATTAATTTTTTTAAACCAGTACCTTTTGACATTATTTTTCTGCAGTACTAAAATCCATTATTTACCTATCGTGTGATGGCGATATTTTACAGCTACTCCAGTTTTTAGAGTATGGTTCTTCTACCATATTCGAGATGCACACGACGAGATGGTATACGAACTTTATTGATGGTAACTTTATAGGTGTAAAAGACTTTCTGCCTGGGCAGCCAGTATTAACCATAAACTGTGCTCTGGGTCTCTAGTTAATTTTCACTCGATTTTTCCTCCACTTGACTTCAAAAGACACAAAACACACGTAATAACACGAATCAAAATGCATCATCTTCCAAAACGCAGGGTATTTGTCAAAAGTTGACACAAAATGATAACCTATAATTTGGCAAGACTTTGACAAGCGTCAAAAATCTAAAGGCGAGTTCATACGCATCGGCGTCCGTTTGTCGTTCATCGTTCCGTCAAACCAATAAAATTGAAATACGATCTGTCATTTTTAAAATAAACCAATAAAACTGGTTAAAAACCACAAGACACGACGCATGACGGATTTATATTTAAACCCATCCATAGTTAACTTAAAAAGTATTAGAAACTTTTTAGTAAAATAAATAGATTGGTCTGGGACATCATCTGCTTTTCTTCTGTCATCGTCTGTCGAAATCTTACCTGAGAAAAAAAACAGAGTATATCTCCAGTAGTTTCCGAGATACCTATAGAGAACATCGTAGGAAACTCACCCTGTATAAAAGGCCTTACTTATTTATTTATATTTTATTTATTTACAATCTACAAGTTATATTTCTCAATAGGAACTTTTACTTTAGGTTGCTGATAAAAACAAGTACCACTACAAGCAAAGATGTCATAATCCCTGTTATCTTCACAACGTACCCGTGGAGATCGTAGGAGATCCTAAACTAGCGAATTGCGCTGCTATGAATGGCATAGGAATGTGTAAGGAATGTGGTTGTCGATACAATATGCATATGCACATTAAATACGAGACGGAAACGTTCGACAGTCGTATAGTGGACAAAAATGTTGCGACTAACATAACTTCGAAGGAGGACGCCCAAAAACAGAGACAGAAGATAATCAAAGAGCTCAAGCAGAAGAAGGAAGAAATGGAACAGGAGCACAAGTATATCTTGCAGTGTTCCGCATATTTCGCACATTTTCTGCGACAAAACGCAATAACACCGATCAACGATTCTCTCAAGGAATATGTTCAATATTTAATAACCAGGTACGTTAATTGAACGAATGTATTCTAAATAGTATCCTAATACAGAGAACGTTTCCATTCGTGACAAGGGAACGTTTGTAAACGTGTGCGAACGTTCATACTCTTACGTTTTTCGTCGGTTCTGTGTGGATAGAAAGACACAATTTATTTAAACACCATTTATTTAACACTAATTAACAAACAATAACGCTTTAAAAAACTTAAAGAACTATTTATAACTTATTTACAATTTATCTAACTATTTATCTAACAGGAATTTATTTTGAATTAGCGCGGCGACCGGTTGTTTTTTCCTGTCCACCTCAGGCCTCAGGCGTCTGCTTATATATGAGAGCAACAGACAATCCAGATTTGTCTCATTTGTCTCGACAATTCTTAAGGTTGTCGCCCACTAGAACGGGCGCGGCGCGGCGCTGGGAAGAGATTTTTTTCCGGCTGCGAAGGGACTACGCCCACTATAGCGCGCGTTTGAAACGCGGAAACGCTATTTAGTTAGTCGAAGGGGTTTTTACTTGTAGTTTATTTTTTAAAGCAATGAGTTCAAGTACGAACGAAAGCGTATTTTTGTGCTCTTCTAACAGAGGAAGAGCAGGCGAAAAAGAAAAGGAAAGTTTGGACTCATAAGATTAACAGAAAAAGAAAGAAGTTTGGATAATTTTACCATCTTTTTCCTGATTTAATAAAAGACAAGAGCATTTTTTTCAGTATTACAAACTGTAAAGGAAACATTTTACGAACTCCTCAATTAAGGGTTTTAGAAGCATAACACCGGGTATCTCTACTCATCATATTTTTTCAGAAGAGACAAATTACTAATGATGCAATAATGAATCGCTTATAGCTGACGACTTTTGATAATTCTTATTTATTCTGATGTGTATATTAGCCTTGTTTATATATTCTTATATATTTAGGTAATTAGAATTTAAAAATTGGAGATTGTCACTTTTGTCAAGAAGTGGAGATTGCCGGTTTTGCTTCTACACCCCTCAATTATATTAAATCTTTGATAGAAAAACATTTCGTCCATCTGTCTCTAGTGAGGGAAGACCAAAAAAATATATTCCTTTTTAAAAATCTGTTTGCCTAATTTACCTTTCAAAATGCAATTCTACCATTGATACGTACCACTAGTTCCTAGTCAAAAAGCCAGTGAAGAGACTCGAGATGCAAAATTATTTCCGTTGTGAGTACGCACACTGCAACGCGCCGAAACGCGGGAGACGGATAAAAGTTGCTAGAGAAGTCTTCCGACTTCTTGACGGAAATTCCGCGGCGCGCATCGACGCTGCGCGCTCTAATGTGCGTTGCTCCATTTAAATACATGGCAAGCAGACAAAAGAATTTCCCACATGGCGTCGCGCCGCGGTCTAGTGGGCGACAACCTATTCGTTCTAGAACATCGGCGTCGCTGGGCGTATGAGTCATAAGCGAGTGGCCAGGCCTAAGGCCGAGTTCACACGGTACGGGTCCGCAACAATACATACATACATACATACTGCCATTACTCGTTGACGAGTATTCGACACGCATCAGAAGATGGTCACGCAAGGCGTTTTCTTTCATGAGCTTTTTTGTGACAGTAAAGCCCGATACGTGATGTTATCTGCCTACCGCACTCCGGACATTCAAAAATCTCATTGTTTTGTCGTCTCTTTACTTTTTGGTTGTCGCTGTTAACCGAGTTTACAATTCTTCACCATTGCGTTCTATTGTGTACTGCTTCTTCCCACTCATTCTGCATGTTAATCCCCTTTAAGTTTTCGTGGAAAATGTCCTTGTACCTTTTGAGTTGTCCACCCGGCCTCCTCTTACCGTCTACAAGCTCACCGTAAGGGCGCAAACATAGTGAGGCATCTCGATGCGATGCTCGCCAAGATGCTGGCCGCGCTGCTCGCCAGGATGGTAGCCGCGATGCATCCTACGCGCAGTGTTTTAAAACGGCGACTGGGTGCGCGTAGGATGCATCGCGACTATCGTACAAACATAGTGAAGGCATTTCACCTCGACGCGATGCTCGCCATTCACCTCGCCGTCCGGCAATGCTGAATCAAACATGTACAAATTTATGCGTCAAAACATACGGGAGCCTCGCACCTCGCCACGCACCTAGATGTTCAGCGCGATGCTTCCTAAAATACAAAATTTTTGTTTTTTGCGAGAAGCGGACGCGGATGCCTGAAACTTTACATTTGATTGGTCGGTTTAGGATCACAATTCGTTGAGCATATGTCGAACTAGAGTCGGGTGGAATAAAATGTTCACAATAGCTTTGTTCGCGGAGGCGATCCCTGACTAATCCCTGGCTGGCGCGTTTTGATTATGAGCGTTCGCGGTACAATAAGTTCCGGATTCTGACAAACAATCAGTTGTTCGCGGAAGCGCTTAATCGAATCGAGGACTGGTACGGGATCGATCAGAATAGTCAGCGGATAGATGCCTGTACTTCTTGTCAGGTGCATGCGTACTGCGGACTATTGCGTTTGTTGACAAAAACACTTCTCTGTGAGGGGCATTTTTTTAGTTCTGTGTGTTTATAGAGATCCAAAAAAAGTAACGTATCACCATGAGTCCATCTATAAAATTTTTCTTCGACAGTACTGGAATTAAATTCCAAAAATTCGCTTATATCTATAGCAAAAAAAAACATCGGTTAGGAATATAAACAAATAATTTAATATTTTAAAAAATATAAAGGTTTCCCACGTTCTATATCACTGCTCATTATTAATCAATGTATTTTGTCTATATGATTAATAATTACCAAGCAGTTTTGTGGATTTTGCTGCGGTTTTAATTAACTGTCGTAATTTTATCCGTATCGTTAATTTAAAAGTTCAAAACAAATGTACAAAACGCGTTCGCGGAGAAATGTCAATCCCAAACTTGTTTTGAACCGCGCATGCGTAGTTGATAAATCAGTTATTTGTCGCGGATTTGTCAGGGGTTAGTCAGGGATCGCTACCGCGAACAAAGCTAATACTAGTATTTAATTTATAACCAACAATATAATCACCTTGATTCTACTGGGTCCAGCAATAGTGCGTCTGGCATCTGCAGCTCCTATAATAAAAAAACTTATGAATTTTGTAGTCCAGACATAAAGTATGTATTAGGATGTATTTGAGAAAAATATTTGAACTTCTAAAGGGTGGTTCAAAAAAGTGTGAGTGGATCGCGAACTCATTCGGCGCAACTCATTCGCCTCGGTTGATTATACGAAAACGGAAATATGTAGAACCAAAATATTTTATGGGCATATGTGGGAAGACCATGTGCATAATTTAAAATTATTTTGAAATGTACAGAGTATGTCAGAACTAAGATTTACACCAAAGTTATATTTTTTCTTATGGTACACCCGGTATTTTATTTCATATTTAGATCCTTGGGCACAAAATAAGGCCTTTCTTATAAGGGTTATTATATATTAATATGTTTACAAGCTTTGGTTTTTGAGATATTTAAAGATATTTAAATATGCATGCTACAATGGAATAGATTATCAGCACCCTGTGCATTACTTTTTAGAATTAACTATTGTGCTGAGTTTAAAGATAGAGAAATAAACTTTACTGAAAAATTGTATTGCTCCCTTAAATTTATACAGGGGTACCAAAAATTTATGATTTATTATAAATATTTATTTTACATAAAAAATTGTTATTTCAAATACGACAACCTGTATTTTTTAAAATAAATCGAAACAGATTCAAATGCTCTTTCAAACTATTATTAGGGTAGCCTATACCTATCTAGCTCAGATTTTGAATAAAGAGCAATTTTTCAATAAAATGGCAACAAAGAAACCATTCATTGGGCTGGAACCAGCCCATCTTAAGCGGGATTTTGTAACCACGACTTCAATAATCTCCCAGTTAGCTTAGAGACATGATGGAACCACCGGATGCTTAAGAGTTGTCTAAGGTTGTGACTTGTTTGTCTCTGTTGCAACTTGTTTAATGCGTTCATGTGTCGGCGGTACGGCACCCAGGTTTCGCTCCCATATATCATGGTGGGGATTATAATTGCTCGGAACACTGCAGGTTTCGTTCTTGTACTCAAGTCATGACTGTAGAAAACCCTGTCTGTTAATTTCCAGAATACTCTTGAGGCGCTGCTAATCCTGTGCTGAATTTCAATGAGTCTAAATCTGAGTCAATATTGGCCTTTTCCGAAATGAAACTGCTGAGGTAATTGAATTCCGCCACATATTCCAATAGTTCTTCTCCGATTTTTATAGCATTGTTGTGATCTTCCGGGGGAGTGCGAACGTTCAGGATCATTGTGAGAGAACGTTCCCTTATAAGACCACGTATAAGCACAAACAAGCGTGCATGCACAACCGAGAATATTCCCTATAAACTTTTCAAAAAAATTTAAAGTGAATATTTTTGAGTCTAAATATGGGGGGCTTCATAAGCGTAAGATTTTAGAAAAATAGTATTATTATACACCATTATCATCATCATTTCCAGCTTATTCAACAATTTCCAATTATAGTGTAGCATTCGTGACATATTTAGTTAATCCCCCGGTAATTTAGGGGGATATTTGCTCTCAATTTGGTTCTTTGCGTTTTAAATGTTTTCGAAATTAAGAAAATAATAAGAAAAAACGAGAAAATTCACCACTACTCACTTCACTATACCGGGTGTTGCATCGTCGAGCGGGACATAGGAAATCCCATGTAAATTTTAATGGGGTCAATTATTTGCGTCCCTAATTATTTTAGAGAATAATTCTATTTAGGTTTATTGGAGAGCACTAAAACCCACATTCAAAAGAATAACTTTAGATATTTTTCATTAGCCCGTTTACGAGTTATCGCCGATTTCTTTTTAAATATTTCTCCTTTGTTATGGCCCTGTATTTACTTTATGAGCATCAGTCAAGGTAAAAGATAACTGTCAAATGAAGTTGTCATTTCAGAAATTTATCTATTAAAGGTGCTATCGTGCGGTCCCCGTCCATACCACTAGCGAACATTCGCTCGTTCGTTCGTTCGTTCGTGCGGATAATGAATACGCACCTTAAATATACCGCACTTTCATTCGTTCGTTCGTTCGTTCGGATAATGAATACGCACCTTTAGATGTCTATTTAGTGCTTTATTATTATTATTAAAAACCCATACTTACATCGAAAATATTAGCCATGAATTACACTACCGAAGAAAAAGTATTGATGATTAAATGGTATTATCAAGGAAATAGTTATCAAAAGGTGTCGGACATGTTTGCTGCTCTGTATCCGAATAGACCGATACCTGGAAAATCTACAATCGCAAGGAATATCCAGAGATTTGAGACCAAAGGTACCCTAATAAATAACTGCAGATGTGAAGCAAGGCAGAAACAAAGAGAAGATGCAAGGAATGATACCGAATTGGAAGTTTAATTGTGCGTGGAAGAGAACGATGGAAAGATGAGGATGAAATAGGAATAGATCACACTACAGCGTTTCGAATTTTGAAACGACATAAATACTATTTCTTCAAATATGAAAAGCACCAAGAGCTACGAGATGGGGACGAAATACGGCGGCAGGCGTTTTGTTTTGATATGATGGAAAGAGCAAACACGTATAGGGAATTTTTAAAAAACCAATGTTTCACTGACGAATGCATGTTTACCGTAAATAATGAAACCAATGTTCAAAATTATCGATATTGGAACAAAGAAAACCAACACAGGTTTGTCGAAACAAGGACCCAATATCCAAAGAAAGTGAATGTTTGAGCAGGGATATTCGGACACAATATTATCGGGCCATTATTTCTTAGGCGAAATTTAAATGCAGAATATTACTTGGAACTACTCGAAAATCATATTTTACCTGCTTTACATGATGCCGCTAGGAAAAATCAGGAAGTTTGGTACCAAATGGATGGCTGCCCGGCACATAGTACCCTGACTGTTCGGGAACATTTAGACAATAGTTTTAACGGAAACGTTATTGGCCTAAATCATACAGTACATTGGCCAGCAAGATCTCCTGATATTTCGCCAAATGATTTCTTTCTCTGGGGCCATTTAAAAAACAGGATATACAAGGATAAAAAATACCCAAATCTAGACGAGTTAAAAAATGGTATTTCTGCCGAATGCAATAGAATTTCAATTTACCAACTAGCGAATGTAAGAAGAGAATTTTATGATCGCCTGGGGTTATTGTCTAGCAATCCATGAAGGAACATTTGAACATCTGAAATCCTAAAGTTCTAACAATTTAATAGTACCTAAATTAATAAGTTATTGAATATTCTAATAATACTATAATTAACCTTGTAATTGATTACTTTATTTTACTTTAATTCATATTAATTTGTATTTATAAATACATCTTTAAGATTTCCGATGTAGGAATGAGTTTTCCATAATAATAAAGCACTAAATAGGTAAATTTCTGAAATTACAATTTCATTTGACAGTTATCTTTTACCTTGACTGGTGCTCATAAGTAAATACAGGGCCATAAGAAAGGAGACATATTTAAAAAGAAATCGGCGATAACTCGTAAACGAGCTAATCAAAAATATCTAAAGTTTACACCAAAATTGAATGTTGTTTGAATGAAGTTTATTGAAGAGCACTAAAACCCACACCTTTTGAATGTGGGTTTTAGTGCTCTTCAATAAACCTAAATAGAATTATTCTCTAAAATAATTAGGGAAGCCAATAATTGACCCCATTAAAATTTACATGGGATTTCCTATGTCCCGTCCGACGATGGAACACCCGGTATAAGCACATCTCTGTTCATGAGAATATACAGGGTGGTCCGAACTGTATTCCGGAAACTTCGGCAGCATATTCTGCAGATAAAAATATGTAAAAAAGTTCGTATAAATGTATGCCCTAAGATGCTTAGTTTCGGAGATACAGGGTGTAGAAATTTTATTTTAATTTCGATTTTTTCCAAGTAATTTTTGAAGTAACGTCAATATTTGGATGAAAATTGTGTGTCTGGTTGTTTTTTCACACGAGAGATTTGATTTTGATGTCGATTACTCCTACTTGCAGGGGCACCACCTACATATTTGTTAACTAGTTTGAAAAGTAAGTAAGTTTTTAGTATTGAAAATACTTCTGGCCGCGTTTATATGGGACCCATCTTTGAAAAAACGACATGCTAGAGGCGACATGGAGTTCAATAACTTGCCTAATCAACTTAATCAACTAAAGCCGTCCGAGGGCCGAAATGAGGTCTTATTAGTGTGGGCCAACTATTTTATGGATATGGATGTTTAGTCTGGGAAAGCCGATATTATTATAAAAAAGAATATGCGTCAAGGCATGGGTTGTTAAGTACAGTTGGGCTATTTTAATCTAACTCTTTCCGTATGAGAAGCAGGGGGCAAATTATACGTGAAAGAACGGAATAACATAAATAATAAATTTAAACTAATGCAATATTTTTTCTTGTCGCGTAGGATAATGCGCACAATCGATGCATTAAAGGGAATAATTAATTAAATCATTAAGTTCCAAAAGATATAATAACATTGACATTCGGATCTCATCGGATCTGCTGATAGATTTTGATAAAATTTAGGCTATTAGGGCCTATATTTTTTATATGATAATTATTTTTTTAATTAACAACTTAGGACAAAGAAAAAGCTTGCATTGTTTCCACCACCAACATAAAACAAATTAATTCAAGGCGGTGCCAAATATTTATTGGGATAAGTTTTTATCGTTTAAATATTGTTGTAAATAATAATTATCATTTAATTAGTACTAATTTATTAAATTTCACAACACGGCGAAATTTCAACAAAATCGGCTAACGGATCTTTGAGATATTAATAAAAAAAGGTCTATTAGAAAACACCGTGACACCCCTGTATCTTTAAAATTATACTTTTCCGAACACATGTTTATGTGAACTTTTTACCTTAAAAACACTCAAAGAATCAACTCCAGAAGTTTGGCCAGATACTTAATTAACATCCTGTATTTAAAAATGGCTAGCTAGTGATTTAGTAAGCTATGTTTATTTTAATAGGAAAAAAATTCATTTCATAAAAAATAAACAAACCCATAATACAAATACTATACACCAATTAATTAATTGTAATTGTATCTAAATGCACTTTAATAATTGAAAAATATGCTAAAAAAATAATTCCAATAAAAAACACAAATGGCACATTAAAATCTGCATTATCTGAAATCAAACTATAGCTAAACGGCTAATAAAATAATAGAGACAAGACGCCGACATCTATAACAAGATGAGCAGTTTTTAATAATTATTCCGAGTTATTATTACATACTTGTTTTACAATTATTGTAATAAGTAGCATTCCTTCAAATAAATTTTGATTTAAGTATTGTTAATATAGTCATATTCATGATTATAGCCCGTATGATTTCTAAAATAAATAATCAAGCGTGTTTTTATCAGAATTATTAAATGATTAAGTAGAAATAGTTAATATTTAGGAACTTCATAAGTGTTATATTTTAATATAATTATGGATTTAATAATTAAATAATTATCTTAAGTTTAAATTGTGGTAAACTTGTATGAGTTTCAATCATTTATATTTAAGATCATAGGGAAGGCAATATAGATTTTAGGCAGGAGAACTCAAGAGAACAACTGTGTAATTAGTAATTAAGACTTTACAATTTTTTTACTTGCCATTTTCTTGTCGTTCACGTTGCACATTGACTCTTCGTTGTGTCACACACAACCTGAATTTCGCATATGATGCAGAACTGATAAATTGTACCAAATATATTAATTGCAGGTAATCAAAGACATATTTTTGTTAACTTTGCAAATATTTAAGGCATGCAATAATTTTAAAAAATTTTGACGTGAGATTACTTTATAAAGTAAACGTAAAAAAACAGGTGATTGCTGACCACCGCCGACTTTTGTGTCTGGTATTTTCAATACGCCTATGATGGTTGCGCATGTTGCAAAATCTGTGAATTTTTTATCATAATTTTTTCGAAGAATAATTTATGATTAATTATGTACATTTCCGTTATTTTCTAGGTAAAAAATGTCTCTTGGTAAAAATCGCTCCGAGCAACCGTTCTTAAGATATTTAGAATGGAAATGGTCAATACATATGTCATTATTGACAAAAAAACAATAAACAAGTAGATAGTTATTTGACTGAAAGGATAAATTTGGGACCTTTTTATTATTTTAAATTAATTTTAATTTTTTCTTCGAAAAAGTGATGATAAAACAGTTTCTGTTAAACATCTACTGTTAAACGTCTAATAACCATTGGGTCAATATGTTAATTTATGTCAATGATGACAAGTATTGATAATTTCGATTCCAAATATCTCGAGAAGCATTACTCGTAGCGATTTTTACCAAGAAACATTTTTACGGACTAAAAGTAATTACTCTTCAAACCAGTTAAAAAATATGTAGGTGGCGCCCTCTACAAGTAGGAGTCATATTGACATCAAAATCAAATTTCTCATGTCAAAAAACATCCAGACACCAATTTTCATCCAAATATCGACGTTAGTTCAGAAACGATTTGGAAAAAATCGAAATAAAAATGTCTAGAAGAACATCTAGTAGAAATTCTACACCCTGTATCTCTAAAACTAGGCATTTTAGGATATACATTTATACAAACTTTTTTTTTACTTATTTTTATGTGCAGAAGTTCCCGAAATACAGTTCGGACCACCCTGTAGATAAATTGATTTGTTCGTAGGGAGGAAAGTCTCGGACCAGATGCGCATCAGGGAACTTTGAGTTATCTAAAAAACCTTTTAGCTGAATACGAAGAAGAGAAGAAGATTCTAGATGAGGCTATGCACACACAGCTCGATTCTACTATCGCAAATAAGGTTACTGCCGGAGAAATTGAAAATAAAATAGAGAAACTGTTCAAGTTAAAACATGCAGGTAAATTTAAATTTTAAACTTCGTTATTGGATAAATACGGACCGATCAAAAAATACTATCATACCTTACGCAAAATTGTAAAATTTCCAGGGATTTTGTGCCTAAATGGTTGACTTTAGCGAAAATGTTCATAGAACCTTTTTTATAGGAAATTTTATTCTCTTTAATTATGCTCTCCTCAAATTTTTGCGAAAAACGTATAGTTTTCGATATATTTACAAAATACCGATTTTGGGCGCCATCTTGGCAAGATGGCGGCGCCGCACAGTGGGGCGGCCAGAACCTTATAAAACAGAAGTTGCTTTTTCAAAAAGTTTTGATGACCATAGAATACAGAAAAGACCTAAATATTATATTATGCACAGAAAAAATTTTTGGATGCAGATCTGTAACCAGTGAAGGGCTGTAATGTCGAAGGTTTAGTTCTACTGTGTATAGTAATTGCAATTTGTAGGGCCCGAGTAATAAGTAAAATTTCTTGGTTAATTTTTATATACAATTAATTTTTTGCATTTTTTATAAAAGTACAATACTACTTGACTATTTCTAGCTATATTTTGAAAAAAAAACTTTTTCACTGATGCATACTAAATTAATTAATAAATTAGTATAATATAAAAAATAAAATATGCTATTTAACCTTGAGTTTTGTTGAGTGCCCAAAGTTACCCAATTTATTAGCTGATGTTTTTTGAAAGATTGGACATTACCCTTCATGTATTTGTTACCATCTTGCGCAACTTTGCGCAACTTTAACAAAAATATTTTTAAATGTAAGTATGTCCCTGGTATACTTTGAGTAATAGATACTATAGGTCTTTATGATTCATTTAGATTAAGTTCGTGTGATTTTAATAAAATCTGATACTCATGAATCGCCTGTAATCAAGCATATAATTAGGGAGCCCAAGTCCCACCCCACCTCAAATCTACAAATTTTGTCGGTTTTAACTGAATTAATGCTTAGATCGAGGCTTAGATAATATACAACTCCCCACTCCTTTTTTATCTTTTTAATGGAACAACATGGAGATTTGAAGTAAGGCAATATGTTTAAAAATATTACGTTTTAGTCTAAATATGACAGTTTAAAATTTCAAGATGGCGGCTTAACTTATTAAAATATCCGCACGTAAATTCAAACTATGATATGTACTAAAATAATGAACCGATTTTAAAAATTTAAGCATTTAAACAAATTATTTTTAACTAACCTAACCTAACACATTACATAACGCTAAATTTCAAATCTTTTAGTTGCTCCAATCCAAAAAATAGAAGGAAAAAAAATTCCAGCACCCAAAACCACCCTTTCTCAGAAATGGTTATTAAAATTTTTGGAACCCCCCCATTATCCGAAATTAATTTTTAGATGCCTGTAATAGGTACTCGAAAAATCTAGCCCGTACTTTCTTGATTACTTGCCGACTACTCATTTTGAGACATGTGAGACCACGATTGAAAATAATTATTTTTTTACTTCTTCAAAACTAGAATCCAGAAACAATATTTATTTTTTTATCAAAGTTGTTGGTTACATACGGATAAAAAAAATATCAAACAGACCGATAAACAGACAGACAGACACACAGACATGCCACAAGACAACAATATTCGAAATGGCTTGCAAGGCAAAAGTGTAAAAGTTTTGTCATCCGGGTATTTTTTCTCACATTATATTGATGAGCTAATATGCTGGGTATATACGTGAAGTATAATTTAATTAACTAAAATTTTGAAGATTGGCTACCTAGAAATTCAATTAAGCAAAAACTGTTAAATTCTATATATTTTTGGTTGATCCATATATCTTTGAAGGTTTTGGCCAACGATTCTTCAATCGGCCCCACCGTGCGCCGGCGGCAAGTCTGGAAATGTGCATTTTATGGATTTTAGTTAGGGACCCCAAAACCTATAAACCTGCAAAGTTTCAAAACTTCCGGACTTTTTTCCAAGCAAAAATCCCCAATGAATGAACTATTCGATTAACTAAAAGTTTAATCGGTATTATATACGAGTTGTCTGAGTCCGGCATTAGTTTGTGTATCTTTTTTTCTCCAATCAACGATAATATATTACTTCTTATACTTGTAGGACCAAAAATCGAGGAGCTCTACAAATATTTTAAAGATGGAACCAAAGTGGAACACAAACAAACCGTTCGCGATGTTTCGGGCTGGTTCAGTATGGCGAAAAATTTTTGGAACAGACTGCCACCACCGCCATCCATGATTCCTGCATAATGTGCTCGATTTGAAGTGGCAGGAAAAAAATATAATCAAAAAAAAATAAATATTGTTTTAAAGAACTTAATGTTTATTTGCTTTAAAATATGAGTTTATTAAAAATATATATTTAAAATTGATATCTTAATATGTTTATTATATTTAGTTTACTATATTCAATATATATTATGATACTGTCAGTTATAATAAATGTACGAAAGCGTAGAGCTGCCATCGCAACAATGAAATATAATTTTAGCAAAATTTACACTTTTTCTGTAAATTTACAGATTTTCTGTAAATTTACACTTTTTCTGTATGTGTTAAATTTACACATTTTCTGTAAATTTACAGATTTTCTGTAAATTTACACTTTTTCTGTAAATTTACACTTTTTCTGTAAATTTACAGATTTTCTGTAAATTTACACTTTTTCTGTAAATTTACACTTTTTCTGTAAAATTGCATGCGAAATTTACTACCCAGCAGAATGACGTCTCGGCATCGACCTGCTCGTTACTCACTAGTTACAAGTGAGCATTGTTCTGCGCTGATTAAGTTGCTATTGTGCCTAAGTAGTACATATATTCATCAGAGATTATGGACGAATACATTAAAACCTACTTTCATATCGGATTAAGTCATAAAGAAATTTTGACATGTCTGCTAGAGGATGGTTATGTTAAGTTTACATCATTTGCAGACGACAGTTTACGTCATCCCAGAGGTGGAGGCCATCAGATCCTCTTGCAAACAGTAATGCATCGGAAAGGGTGAAAATACTTTCCGGGTCGATTAAAAGCATATTAGAAAACATATTAAACAAAAAAATGCCATACTATTATATCATACACATTCGAAATTTAATACATAATCCCTAAAATAAGAGATCACCCGATTTTCTGTACTATGTTAGACCCAGGTTCAGTATAGACGATGAGGAATAATTCTTCAAGTATTTTTGAAGAGAGTGTGGTTTCAGAACAAAATATATCTTTGAATATACTGGGATATTGCTTAATCTTTTCATATAGTCCGCATGTCTTCAATCCTTCAATTAATTGCCGCAGTGGTTCCCTAATTCTGTCTTTACTAGTAAAGACTTTTGTGAATAAACTGGCGTAGAACAGAATTCGATGGGAACTACTCGTAGAATAACGCACCACTGTTGCCACTAACGCATAAATTAACAGAAAAAGTGTAAATTTACAGAAAATCTCTAAATTTACAGGAAAAGTGTAAATTTATTAGAAAATCTGTAAATTTACAGAAAATCTAATAAATTTACAGAAAAAGTGTAAATTTTGCTAAAAATATTTTCAATGTTGCGATGGCAGCTCTACGCTTTCGTATAAATGATTAAAAAAAGATGTATTTTTTTCTATTAACAATGTTTATGACAGACTTTTTATTTTAATTAAAAGCTACCTAAATTATAATTTATCCTTTGTAGTATAGCATGATATGCAGTTAAGGTAATCGTTGTACGCATGATCATTTTACATTTTTAACTTATATCCTTGATTAACTTATACTAATGTAAGTACCTATAGCTTTTTCTCATCATCAATCAATCGTTAAAAAATGGTCGTAGAGCAACCAAATTTTAGGGGTGGGTAGGGGCAGCTTAGAGGGGCGATTAATACGAGTATTTTTCAACCGAAATTTTGAATTTCTGATAACGGGGTTGCCTAATTTCAAGGTTAAAGGTCTATACAGGGTGTCCCAGAAATAAGTGCAAGTATTTTAAAGTAGGGTTGGAAAAATCATGATTTTTTTTAAAAAAATCAAAACAATATTTAAATCGGATTTCCAAATGACTATGACTTATTTTCAATTAAAGTCCTATCCTAAATGGCTAAATCTTCATAACTCTGCCCGTTATTGATAACATCAATAATTCTAGGGTGCGTTTGTCATTTTTCCACATCGGTCACCAATATATTTCGCGAAAAAGTCGCTCGCTTCAGATCAAAAGGATTTTTTTCAAACGTCTCAAAAGTATTAATTTTTGTCATTTTAACGCCTAGGTATAAAAGTAAAGCACTATTACGCCTAAGCACAGAAGTACAAAAATATATTATTAAATTGATATTAAGAAGTGTCAAATTCAACGAGTGTACAGGGTGGGTCAAATTCGACGCTTTTAAATGGAAACACCCTTTTTTATAGGAGATAGACGAAAACTAATATCGGTGTCTGGAGCTCAATTTTCATCAAAAACATGATGATGAAAACCGCACATCAATATCTGTTACCGTTTCGGAGTTACGGGGTGTTTTTAAAAAATATGCATTTTTAACAAATCGCTGTAACTTTTTTGCTATGGAAAATTTTGTATTTCTATAAAAAAAAATTTCCAAAGCTCCTTTTTACGTAGAATTTAATGATTTAAGTATAATTTTTTTAAAATTAATAATTTAAGAGTTATCAACAGAAAAATTAATTTTTTATTTGGGACACCCTCTATATTTTTAATTAACTGAAAAGAATTTAAAATTACCTTTCCAAAAATATAGCACACTTGATATTTTGTTATAATCCCCTTCGAAATACAGAATTTTTAAAAGTTCGCCACTTTTAAACTAGTAGGCTTTGGACCCCTTATTGATGATATGCCCTTAATGGAACTCGAAAACATATTTTTCCAGTAAGACGATGCACCGCCTCTGAACGCTGAAGTTATCAGCAAATTTTGCAGCCAATTTCAAGAATAATTGAATAGCTAACTAAGATCCCAGCCCTTGGCCGTCGAGGCCGTCTGACTTAGTGCCCATGGATCTAATCCTATGGATATATTTGCGGAAGAATAAAGGTTCCTTATTCTCCGTATAATCTAGACAAGAATTAGAAATACTTAGCAGTTATGAGAGGGTATTTTTCACCCCTACTGAGTTAATGAATTCCGCGAGAAATGTTCAAAAATTGCCCCGTCTGTCCATAACAGAAGACGGTCGTTATGTCGAACACCTGTAGCAAAATCTCATGTCTTGGTTAGCTATTTATTTTTATAGTTATTAGATATAGTTTAAATGTGTTGATGTTGGTTAAATATATTTTAAATTGTTATAAAATTCTGCATCTCTCATAGCAAATATTATTTTCGTTTTAATTGATGCTCACAGCTAGAATTTTTTGGCATTAGACCCGGTGCCGTTGAAAGTCTTTGCCGTTCAACAAAGCCGGTGCCGTTCAAACTTATTTAAAGCGGGCGAATGTTTATATACTCTATATCCCGAAGAGGAATCGAGCAAAATATCAAGTGTGTTATATTTTTGGAAAGGTAATTTCAAATTCCTTTCAATAAATGAAAAATATACAGGGTGTCCCATATAAAAAATCAAATTTTCTGTTGATAATTCTTAAATTATTAGTTTAAAAAAATATACTTAAACCATTAAATTCTACGTAAAAAGGTGCCTTGAAAATGTTTTCATAAAAATACAAAATGTTCCATAGCAAAAAAGTTACAGCGATTTGTTAAAAATGCATATTTTTGAAAAACACCCTGTAACTCCGAAACGGTAACAGATATCGATATGCGGTTTTCACCATCTTGTTTTTGACAAAAATTGAGCTCCAGACACCGATATTAGTTTTGGTCTATCTCCTATAGAAAAGGGTGTTTCCATTTAAAAACGTCGAATTTGACCCACCCTGTACAAATTGTTGCTCGATTACTGTTTATATTATTTGAAATGTTTGAAATTGATTAAAAATGATCTATTATATATTCTATTAGGAGTAAAAATGTACTTTTTGTGCTTCCTTGTAACGTCGGAATAGCTTTACGATGGTCCTTCAAAGGTACAGCATCATCAAAAAAAGTATAATTTTTAATCCTAATAAAACAATACACTATTACATTGTTCGGAAATACTCTTAACTCGAGAATGAAATTAGTATTATCTAATGTCAAAGTGTAAAATACTTACTGCAGATCAAAATGTCGGTAAGAATTTGGAATAATACAACCATTTCAAAAAAAAAACAACATATTTCCTGACAACGATTATTATAGAATCTCGGGAATGAAGATATATAGTCTCTATATCAGAAGAACCTAGTTCTGGCACTAGACTGCGAATGATATGTATTCGAACAGCGAATTTTTGTCACTTATACATAAATTTTAAGATAAATCCTTGCGTTTAGCGGTCTAATGGATTTACACGAAATTACTTCAAAAATTGGTCCAACATTTAAATTGATGAATAGATATTTTTTTATAGTTTTATAAAATTTACAATTATTTTTCGACTTATTATCTGTTATATCTTTTATAGAAATATTTTTTATAGTTTTCTAGGACACATTTTTATAATTTTTGCAGTTATTTTTTGATTTATAATAAAGTTTTAATAAAATTATTTTTTTTTATTTAATTTTTTTTTATTTAATCAATGATTAAAATTAAAAAAATCACTTGATTTAAATGATGCCAACCCTGTTTTAAAGGGTGTTAGATCCGGATAAAAGAAACATATTTTCTCTTTATCGTTTTTCAAATAAGTCCAAACTAATGGAGTTACTTTACTTCCATAAAAATTGCAAAAAAAATTTTTTTGCTAAAATTTTGAGAACCACTGGATTTTTTCTGGATCTTCTTTCTTGTAAATTTAATCTAACACCTATGTTGCCATATTATCAAGAAATTATGTTTTTTAACTAAAAACTAAAAAAATTTCCAAAAAATTTCGAATTTTCAAAATTTTTTTTCGCGAAAAAAACCTCATAGGCGTGTTTCTGGGATTGAACTATACTACCAGTTAAAATACTTGCACTTATTTCTGGGACACCCTGTATAAGTACCTGTATAAGAACAAAAATTGAGTCTTATTTTTAAACTTATCAAAAATCGTAATCTTTACGTTTAATAGGAAATAAAACAATAAATTTATCTCTTCATAAGAGATTTATTTATTAGGAATATTAGAATATTTTTGCAAAACCAAAATAGCAGATTAAACGAAAAGTTAACAACCAAACCAAACCAAACACTTAAGATATACTAAGGTAAGAAAGGCAACTCTTTTCTTT